CCACCGACGCCGTATGAACTGGTGCCCCAGCCACCGTACTGTCCGGCACCGCCACAGTACAATCCGGTGCCCCCACCATTTCAGCAGGTGCCACCACAGGGCCCCCCAGTCTATCCCAGTCGGGCCCAGTCCCTCTTCCACGGGACTCAGCTCCTTTCTTGATCGACTCAAGCTACATAGAGAGGTACAGGAGGCTGAACCCTTCCACTTTTGTAGAGGGATCCTCTTTCAAAGATGCCTAGTACTGGTTGGCGGAGACTGAGAGAGCCTTCAAGACCTTGGGAGTGGTTCCTGAGCAGAGAGCTGCCCTTGCTTCCTACATGCTGGTAGGGGAAGCAGGTCGTTGGTGGGAGCTCAAGCAGGCCACCCTGCCTACACCAGCCACTTGGGAGCAATTCTTAGCAGCCTTCCATGCGGAGTATCTCCCTGAGCACATTCGACACCTGAAGGAGATGGAGTTTGTTCAGCTGGTCCAGTGAAACATGACGGTATCGGAATATGCTCGTAAGTTCCTAGAGCTGGGCCGATACTCCCCGGAGATATTGATGGATGAAGGCAGGAAGGCCAGTAGATTCTAGTGGGGCCTCCGTCCAGAGATCAAACAACACTTATTGGTACTGGAGCTAAGACATACTCAGCCGTTCTAGCAAAGACACAGATTGTGGAGAGGAGTTTCAACACCCGTCCTCAGTCAGTAGGGAGTCACCGACCCTCGGCTCCACCCCGCAGACCAGCACCTACTGCGTCGGTCCAACCAAATAAGAGGCACAGACCAGTGATCCAGGCCCCTCCTCAGGCTCCAGGGGCAGCACGTGGAAAGATCTGCCAGCACTGTGGCAGGGATCATGGGGACCGACCATGTTACCGCCTCAACAACACCTGTCGCATATGTGGTAGTGCCCAGCACTATGCGAGAGAGTGCCCGAGGAACCAGAACCAAGGAAGACCTCCTTTTCAGGGCAGGGTTTACAACCTTACCCAGCAGGATGTCGACGCGACCCAGACGTGATACAGGATATGTACACTATCTGTGACCATATTGCTCATGTTTTATTTGACACTAGTGCATCGCATTTATTTGTTTCACATGTTTTTGCTTCGAAACTTAATGTATCACCTGATAAACTTGATTCATTGTTGTTTGTGTCTATTGCTGGGAGTGAAACACTATTAGGGGAAGTTATCTACAGGGCTGGTGCCGTGGAGATAGCAAATAGGAAACTGAGTGTAGACCTGATAGGGTTAGACACGGGAGATTTTGATGCAATTTTAGGAATGGATTGGTTAGCGGCGCATCACGCCACCATAGATTGCTTTAACAAAAAGGTTGTATTTAATCCTCCCAATGAGGAGACATTTACAAATTAATAAAATCATTTAGTACTTATTCCTTGATGGTAAGTTTTCTTAATTTTTTAGTACCTTAATCTTGCTATTTTGGGCAAGCCCAAGAAGAAAATTTGTATCCAAGAGATTCCAGTAGTCCAAGACTTTCCAGATATATTTCTGAACGAACTACCCGGATTACCAGTGGACAGGGAAGTCGAGTTCACTATAGACTTACAGCCAGGCACCTAGCCCATTTCGGTTGCTCCTTACCACATGAGCCGTATTGAGATAGAATAGCTGAGGAAACAGATCACTGAATTGCAAGACAGTGGTTTTATTAGACACAGTGTGTCCCCTTGGAGTGCCGAAGTCACTTTTGCAAGGAAGGGAGATGGAATGTTGAGACTGTGTATTGATTACAGAAGATTGATTTATGTTACGATCAAGAATAAATATCCCCTTCCCAAAATT